GAAATTTATTGATTCATAGAGTTTTCTACAAACAAATAACTAATGAAAATTGCCAGAGTTTTTTCCTCCATTTTGTCATCTAGCCTAAATACAGAGAATTCTTGAACAGAATCCATGTAGACTATTGATGTGTGTTTGTGCGTGTGTTGGTGGTGGTGGGTGCGTGGGAAGGGAGGTCAAACAGAAACAAGATAGTGAATCTCAACCTTACATCAATAGAAATTGAAGCAATTAATGTGGAAAATTAAAATCAAACCTTGTTCAAAAGGGCACCTAGCGGGATCCTCCCCAAAATACTGAGACAACGAATCTGCACTCCTTCCCTACAAGACAGTGTAACAGAAAACTTTAACTCACTGAGAACCAGCAGATATTAACAAATTACAAGACAGAAATTGAGGCTCACCACTTCAGAGTACAAGGAGATAAGTGACCTTACTTCAGCTTCAGCAGTATTGAGGAAAATCTTCAAGGCCTGAAAGATGAAGAATTGAATCTTTTGTTTGCATGAAAAAACGAGCATTTTTAGATATTTTCCGTCAAACTTTATTTCTAACAGAACACTCAAGAGTTCAAAATCAAGGATGATAACCAATCCCAGAGAACAATAGTTTGAAGCAGATACCACCTAGACTTTACGTGAATGCAAACACACATGACCTTAAAGTTTAAATGAGTTCTACCCATGACCCTTGTAACAGCAAGAAGCCCAAGACTACCCACCAACTTTACTATTACATTTACTTGACAGAGAAAACTAATGTCTATTTTAAGGCTCCCTAAACTAGCAGTTGTGTACTTATATTCAAGGGCGGAACTAGGATTTTTCATTTGTGGGGTACATACATATATATATATAATAATAATTACAATTTTGGTCATTCAGTAGATATTCCCTTCTCCTTTGTTCCTATATTGGAAATCTGCTTCAAAGTCACCACCAACAGCAAAATTATGATTCTCAATACGTGAATCTGAATAAAAAAAGAAAAAAGAAAAAAGAAAAAAGTTCAGCTCTGGACCTCTGGACCTCTGGATCCGAGAGAGAGAGGTTCTCAAATCTTGCCTCCCAGTTGATCTCCATGGGGATACCGGGTTTAGGGTTTAGATGTTTGGAGATTTGTCTTTGTGTGGTAGAAGAAAACTAGTGAGGAGATTCTATTTGCTCTCCTGAGTTTTCTGAGTACCAAACCTTTGATATGAGTTGGGGCAAATTAGGAGTTTAAAGTGGTGGGATCAAATAAGCATATTTTGGGTGTGAAGTATAAGTCTCCCCAGTGAAAAATGGAAGGCAGTCGGGTCAATTGACCCAATTTGTCTCTTAATTCCTCCGCCCCTGCTTATATTCAGCCTGTGATAACTAACAACCATTAATCAAGGTATTCTAGTCTAGCATAAGTTAAGATTCTTAAGAGTGTGTGGAAAACCCTATCAACAAAAAATAATAAGTGAAAAATGGAAGTTTGTAGAGAGATTCAAGAAGGGACTGGTTCAAGCACATACACTATTCAACAAACAACTCATGTACCTTCCCTCTGGAAAAGCAAACCAACACGAATTTTCAATTATTATATAGCATCCATTGTTAGTTAATCCAGTGACCGATTCTCAACATCAACACCAGACAAAAACCAATTTTTCCATTAAACCAACATTCTGATCATGCATGAAGTTCCAGTAAAAATAGGAAAAAATTTCTTTACTCTATTCCCAAGGACAAACGTAAAACGTGAAAACGAGAATCTTAACTTGCCAAGATATGCAACCTATAGTTACCCTTGAAAAATATGAGTTCTTCTAAGGGTACTAGCAACATTACTGACAAACATATAGGAACTTCAGATTGTGAATCCATGTGTACATTAGCATCGTAATGAATAACCTAATGGGCACATGCTTCTCAATGAAGAAAGTAAGAAACCATGAGTCCCAAGCACAACCCTCACCTTTTGGAAGCCTGCAGAGATGGCACCATCATTCTCTGAAGCGGTGAGTTCCTGCTCAACCTTTTCAAGACCTTTACTCACAGCTTGCATTTCTTCAGCTAAAGATTTCAATTGAATCTGGCCATTTGCAGATGGAAGAACCAATATATTGTCCATATTACTATAGACACCCTAATTATGCAATAGTAAATCTTAGTAAAAATCTTGCACCTATATACCATGTCGAACATACCTTGGAGGCCGCTTCTAAATGACCAAGATCCTTATCAAAATCCAGCAACTCCGGTAACTTCTCGGCAAGGATCTAATAAAGAAAAGAAAGAAAATTGACTATAGCATCACACAAACATGAGGTACCCAAAAAAACTTTAAAAGAAGCAAAAGAACAACATACTCACAATTAAATAGAAATATTGTTAAACCATATACTGTGAACTAGTAAAGAAGAAGCAAGAGTCAAATGAGTAACAAGCATGGAATGATGGAAAGCAAATTGAAGAATCTATATAAATATGATCACAAAATTTCCTCACATGAAATAAATTGGGTTGTACAATCTGCTCAATTGAAATTAGTGATTTCCAGAGAAACAAAATTTGGACTGGCAAAGAGGACTCAAGTGTTACGCTTTATAAAATATCTAGTAACCAAAAAATTCTTACAAGATCCTTTACAAAAGAAGACAGGTGCACATGCATCCTTTCAGGCATATGCAGACTTCTCCAGGGTATTACTTAAAACTCCCAAGGTCCTTATGAACAACAGATTAATGAAATAAATGAAGGTGAGCTAAACAAGACAAGTTCTCATCAACCAAAACAACCCAAGAGTAAACCACACATGTATCAGATCACTACTCAACAAAGCCTTCCAAGTGAGACTTTAAACTGGTCTACCTTGCATAAATAATGCATCAGCGTCATTTTGTTGTTCCTCGCACGGGTATCAGACAGCTTGAGTAGGCTGTCCAATTTGAATCCTACAGCAGATCCTGCAATATGAAAGAGGACATCAATGTTAAAAGGCTTCCACCAAAAAAGGAACCGTAAATCATGACAAGCTAGTCCTACAGAATACCTCGAGCAGTGCCTTGGTTCAATGCATTTCCCAAAGTGAGAATTGTCTGCATTACTTGACGCAATTTCGCTGATTCTTTAACCTACAAAAAAGCAGATGGTATATTTATTAGTTTTTGAAATCATCTGGCGTAACTTGCAAGAGCTAACTTTACAAACCCAAAAATGAGAGGACGTACCTCTCTAGCAGCACCGTTTATTGTGTCCAGGTTACATCTTAATTCATTCACCTGGACAAAGTCGTATAAGCACGTACAGCAAGAATTGATGATAGCATTTTGCATATGAGAAACAAAAAGCACCAGAACACTCTACCTGACTGGAAAAAGTAATGCTAAATGCAAATACTCGCAATTTAGATTCTACTCGTGGGACCTTCATCAGCTCCAGGAAAAACTGAAATTTGTTCATTAATCACAATATTTGTTAGCAATTCATATGCAAGATGCTTTCGCTTCCCTCCATGATCAAGACAAGAATAGAACCTGTTCACACTTTCCAAGCATATCCTTGTTCCCACTGTAGTTCTGAAAAAATAATAATACCATTAAGGAACAAATAAATTAGTTAAACATGCTTTGAAATCATCTTAAGGCATAAAAGAACAGGATATACCAGATAAAAGTCTACCACAACCCTGAAATCAAAAAATGAGTATTTCAAACTGATAAAAAAAAAACCTTTCCATTTTCAGCAAAGGTCCAAGTCAGTTTCATGAAGCATTTCTCCTGCTTCAGCTCTCTTGTCCTTGTAGCACCTTAAAGTTGAGTTTTTTTAACCGATTTAAACACTTCTTAACCCTTCCCCCCTACATTTTGGGCTTCAACGTAACACTCAAAACCCATGAAAGTAATTTGGAGAAACCAAACAATTAATCAATCAAGACACCAATCTAAATAACACTACTTCCATTTGGAACAGGAAAACTTTTTCGACTTCTAGCACAGTTTGAAATGTAGACAGCAGCATCGTACCAAGTTTCCTTGTACTTTTAGTTTTACATGTCAAGAAAACTAACACTTTGAGAAAGTGTCGAACACTTATCAATCTCATCAACAAAACCACTCATCACAAACGCGCGACTGATGGTTTTGCCTTCAAAAACACTCCCTATCCCAAGGCAAGCAGGCTATAGATATCTTCCTAAATGTAAAATATACTGCTAAGTTAAAGATCAGCACATAGTTACAAGTCCAACACAACTTCAAGCTATTGTAGGATGATAAAGCCTTTGCAGTTTGCACATAGAGGCACAGAAGTAGGCCAAAGAATATAATAAAAAAGCAGTGCTATTAGATAACAAGGAGGAGAGGGAGGAGGGCAGTGCCTTAAGCATCGTCATCTCTTCTTTTGTAGGACAAAATTTTATGAGATTCTCCACTTGGTCAATGTCCAGGGCTGAAGAATCCAAAGCAAGAACAGCATTCTGGAAAGAGAACATCTTTAACTTGTAGCACACCGAAGTTCTATGATGGTACTTCAAGATAAACAGATTGATTTATAACAGCATGAGGGATGAGAAACAAAAAGAAACAATAATAATACATTATACCGCAACGTATACTTCTGTTACATTAACTACAACAGATGAAGCTGTCACTGATTTACTAGTGCACAAACCAATGGAGTTGCATGCGCTTGCACAATCTTCTGAACAATTGAGAATTTTATTCTCCTGAAAGATAGCAAGCTAATAAACAAGACAGACACGTCATTCTGGATGAGTCATCCTGTTAATCAAGGCCCAAACTCAATCTTTGAGATTCAAAAGACTGAATCTGCATGGATATTCCAGTTTAAATAAGTGCCAGCCCTGATTGCACAAGTGGGAGCAGAGTGGAGTAGCGAGGGGCACATAAAAGAGTCTTAGGGTTGGGAGGGCTTGCAGAAGCGTTCATATTATATACAATTATAGTTTAAAATAAGAATGTTCCTTTTTTAGGTCTACTTCCAGGAACATATTGAGTGAGACGAGGTGGGGCTAGTAGCTTTGAGGATTAGAGCATGTGGCTACAAACCACGGTGTCATGGGTTCAAATCCCTCCTCACCCACAACCTTCAAGAAAAATAATAATTATAAATGCTAAGTTATATGTTTGAATAAATACTGAAGGTTGATGTCAACATCCTTTTCTTTGAACATTTTAGAAGATTGATGTCTACAATAAAAAAATTGTTCTTTTTGTGTTAATCTAAACCAGTGATATGCTCTTGCTTTGTAGCTTTTCTTTTGTCCCTCTGAGATTTATTTTCTAGAGAAGTTCCGTCCTATTTTGAAGTGGGGTTATTTCTCGGAGGGACTGGTTTTCACAAGATTCTTGCTCTTAACTCAAGCTTCTAGACCGGATTTGCAACCCTGGATTCCTAGTGTCGCTGAGGAAGGACTCCATATAAACAAAAAAATTGAACCCTGAAAGATTCTTGCTCTTCAAGTCAAGCTCTAGGTAATATCAATATCGCTCTTCTCAAGAGTACAAATAAAACTCAAAGGAAATATAGTACAGTGAGGGAACAAAGACCCCATCGGTAGAAACCAGGCACGGTCATTCAGCTAACCCCCACCCTGTTGGCTGTTACTTCTACAAAATCTCCATTCATAAATCAAATATGACATAGCCTTAGTAATAAAAAGAATTCAAACAAATCAAGACTCAGACTTTGAAAACAGCACATTAAATGCTAACATTATGCAAAAGTAGAAGGTTGAATTTGACAAAATCTGTTTTAAAAGGAAGAAAAAAAGAGAAAGATGTTCGACTTTGACAAGTTGTGCAATCATGTACATGATAAACAACTCATAATTATCCATTTGGAAATAGATCTGTAAGAAAACTAAAGTTGCTTTCACATAAATGTGTGTGCAATGGGAAGAGGAAAAGGTGAGCTTACAATCACATCCGAAAGCGGAATTTTTATTTTAGTGAGCATGATTTCACAGTTTTTTGCTCTGTTCAAATCAACCTGAAAGAAAGAAGCACAAAGAGAACATTATTAAACTGAACCGATAAGAACTTTTTACCTCTTTCTTTTCTGAAATCAATAGAAACATTTACTTCAGAAAACAGATATGAGAGAGGTAACATAAAGAAAAAGAAACTGGATGAAATTGCACACCACTTTCATCTGGTACATAAATTTGACAACAAAAGAGATGCTCCATATAGTTCACTCAAATGAACACCACAACTAAATTGTCAATTAGGGACTAATGATGGAGTGATGGACTACCAAAAACAACAAGAAATAGAAAAAGAATTAGCTTTTCTATGATGGAAAGACTGTTGGGCTCGTCGTCAAGAGAAGTAAAGACATTGTTCTGGTAAGAAGTGAACAAATGTGATGTGCTCACTGCTAGTGACCGTTAAGATGTGCTAACAACTCAACAACTCAACAAAAATAAGTATTATTACCAACCTACTCTTTAACTCATCCTCTATCAGAGTTGACAGGATGGGTGCCATTGTCTGACAAAGATAAACACCCATATCTATGCCCTGTCATGCGACACAGGCGCTCCTTAACTACCAAGTCCATGTACTATAGTCTTAGACTACGTAACCTCAGTATCATCCATTGCTCTGGAACAAAAGAAACATGAATATGTCATGATACTTAGGATACGTCATTATGAGGCGAGCTCACTCACTTGGAGGCAAGACAGCCGGACTTATTCTCTTCGAGATGGAAGCTTGCTGGTAGTATGGTATGAATCCTACGGACATAGCATGCAGCGGAGGCCTTCCCTTCTTGATACCCACGAGGATATCTCAACTTCTTTGCCTTTCTTGATATAATTGAAAATTATTTTGCAGCAGACCATATTTTGCGTTCCGCAGACAAACAGGACATACAAATTACCTTGGTCAGATATTTGTCTAAGTCGCCGAAGTAAAAACACTGCGAACGGTACCCTAATGTTATATAAGACCAGCATATAGAGTTATGCCAAAGTGTTAACATGAGCTCGCAATCAGCATCTCATTCATAAATGTGGCCCCCTCTGCCTCAACCAGGCATCATTCATCCCTCTTATGAAAGAATCAATCTCCACCATCTCCGTGAAGTTAAAATGTGCTGTTTCCTTAATATATGATCGAGCAAATCCACCGAGCAGCTTCCAAGGTTGTTAGCGTGTAGTCTGGGGTAAAGCCACCCATTAAGTTAAAATGACTACTAGTTTTGAAGTTCTGATTGCAACTCAATCTGGTTGGATGTTTCTCATGTTCCGTGGAAATTCCTTTCTTCTAGTTGAAAATTGGATAGACAAAGAAGATGAGAAAAAATCAGATGGACATGCATTACTATATAGTTACCCAGAGCGATTAGCCTAAAACACCCCAGCATTAGGCCTAAGCAAATCAACAGCGGAAATGAATGAACTCATCCGTATCATTTTCCGTCGGTAATCACAAATGCCAAATTGACATTCCCAAAAGATACAATATCAATTTGACTGCAACTTCATTAACTAAGGAGCTGAAGTCAATTTTACCTAACTACTTTCAAGTAAAAGCATAGCTGTATGCATTCAGAAACTAATTGCTCTAACAAGTTCCGATGAAGCTAAAAGGAGAAACTTGTGTTGCTTACCAATTGCACTTTCTCAGGTTTGTTGATTTTAGAACCAAGTCGACCTCCACCTTTGTCAGCGCCATCTGAAGTAGAAGCAGCTGAAAACAGACTTTCAAGTTCTGATATATCAATCTCAGGGGCCCTACAAGGAAATGTCACCATTTGATATCAAAGAATTTTACTGGAGATGAAAGAATGATGTATACAAAACAAAAGAGGAAATAAGACGCGGCACAAGCCAAGCACATAAAGCTCAGAAGATACATCGTATCAAGTTATCAACTATGGGATTGTGAAATTAAGTGGAAGTCATAATTAAATCATCGAAAGGCTTCACCATATTTAGTATCGGTGATTGCGCTATAGGCAACAACTAAGCTCACACGACATCCAAAGATGCCAAATTTTTTAATGAACTTCTGATTCAGGCAATCCTAAAGTAATGGTCCAAAGAATTCCAAAAATTACAACTGCAACATCTGAAAAGGAGGTTCTAGAAATAAGAATCCGGTTTCAAATAAGAATTTCAAATCCACATACTTTGTCTGATTTTCCTGTTTTTGAGAGTCAGCCCATAAACTCCCTTGCATTGCTCGTGTAACTTTCACCCAATGTAATGGCTTCAATGAATTCCGCTTAGGAGGAATAGAACCTATACCAACTCGTCCCCTTCCATGACTTGTTGAACCTGATGAGGCTTTTCCTCTTCCGGAAGATGGAGGTGGTGGTGGTGGAGCACTGGAGCCCTTTGGCACAGGCAGTGGAGGTGGAGGTGGACCTGGTGCCAAACCACGACTTGGAGGTGGAGGGGGAGCCCCGGGAGGCTTTGGTGCCTCCAGAGGAGGAGAGGGATTGGAAGATTGTCGAGGGGGTCCTGGAGGAGGTGGAGGTGGTGGTGGTGGCTTTGTGTTAATGCTAGGGCTGAGACCTAAAAGAGGTGGCGGAGGTGGTGGTGGCGGCTTCTTCGTGGCAACACCAGCATATTGTGGTGCCAATGGTAGCGGTGGGGGTGGGGGTGGTAGGGGTGCCAGTGTTGATGGTTGACTAGAGGAAGAGGAAAGGGGAGGAGGTGGCGGAGGCGGAGGCGGGGGACCCCTAACAGAGATTGAAGAAGGAGGTGGCGGCGGCGGCGGGGGAGGGCCTTTCCTTGAGGAAGGAGGTGGAGGAGGACCTTTACTTGCAGTGGGAGGCGGAGGGGGAGGTGGAGGTGGAAGAGGTGGCAGAAGATGGCTACTTGTAACGAAAGGTGGAGGAGGTGGTGGTGGTGGAGGTGGTGGAGGGCTTCTACTAGTAAGCGGAGGAGGAGGAGGCGGCGGCGGAGGCGTCTTAGAAGGACCTCTACTGATAATAGGCGGCAAGGGAGGTGGCGGGGGAGGCGGGGGAGGACCTGTACTGGTAGCAGGAGGCGGAGGCGGTGGTGGAGGAGGCGAGGGTGACGGACCTCTACTGGTAGTAGTAGGCAGCGGAGGAGGAGGAGGCGGTGGAGGAGGAGGAGATCCTCCACTAGAATTTGTAGTAGGTGGAGGCAGAGCTGGTGGTGCTGGTGGATGCAGTGAAGTTCCTCTAGTAGAATTAATTTGGAAAAGCGGAGGAGGAGGAGGCGGAGGCGGAGGCGGAGGAGGTGGAACGGCATATGTACCAAAAAAAGGAGGGGCTGGTGGCAAAATCGAAGAAAAAGATGGACCCTCTTCACTCAGAACTGAAGATTGTTCCTCAACAGTTACAGATGGAACTTGATTTGAAGGTGTTGAAGTCACATCCATATCCTGTTGAACAACTCCTTCAAGAGGAGATGGTATTGAATCAACAGTATCCAGCATCTTTGGTGCATCCACAGACATCTTAGGATCAGATACTTCATCTGAAGTAGAATCCTGAGATAAAGGATCATCCAAGAAATTCAAACCCGTTGCACTAGTGTTTGTCAGGTTATTAACCTTATCTGCGTCCAGAAAATCCAAGCTATCAGCTATGCTAGACGCGTTATTTTCTTCTTCGGAATCAAAAGGTGATAAATATGTACTCGCTCTACTCCGCAACATTGACAGTTCTTTTACGTCATTTAGCACTGAGAGTTGTTTGAACAACCAAAACGCAGCATCGTCTCCATTATCAACCCAATCAATACCACTGAAAAGTTCTTGAACCCTAGAAAAAGCTTCAAGGGGCAATCCACCTCTCTCCTCACCATCTAAGATTGTAGTTTGAGCTTTTGGGGGAGAGATGCTGTCAACCTCGCCAAACAGAACCTGAATTTAAGCAGAATAACATTGTAATGAGATGTATGACCATTGGCCAGCGTAAGTAAACTAAGTTCCATCAAATACTCAGCTCTTGCTAGTCATAAAATATTCACCTCTGCTCGAAATCCCTTTGGATAGCGCACCTTTGAATCCCACATAATATCCAAGTTATCAGAATTTAGCATCAAGATGTTAGACCGGATAAAAGCAGTATTGAACATGATACGAAACATCATA